CAGTTTTCAAATCGTCAAGTCCGTTGTAGACAATGACATCATAGTTTCTAACTACCTAGAGCACAGGCACAGTGTCGCTCTCTGTAAGTCACCGTCCTCAGGATTTTATGGCTTCCTACGCGACTATATGCTTGAAACCGGAATGATAGAGCCTCATGCCAGGGATCTTTTGACTGACTGCTTCGCTGATTTTAAAGGGTATTTCGAAGGAAGTCAACAACTAGTCCAAGAGCCCCGGGAGTTCTTCTGTTGCATTCATAGGTGTTTTAGATTAGAAGATGAGTTAGCGGCAATGGAAGCCAGAGCTGTTCAGGAATCAATAGATGAAAGTGTCCCAAGACTGATAGCGGCGACCCAAGAAGCCATCCAGGCTTTGCAAATTACCGAGATCGAAGTTGGTTGTGACGACCCATGCATGATTTGTTTGGAGGAGCTGGAGCCCTCAACCACAGTGATCAAACGCATGCCTTGTTGCTCGCATCTGTTTCATGGAGACTGCATCGAGCAGTGGCTCAACACCAGTCACCTATGTCCTTGGTGCAGATTTCCAATGCCGATATCCGCTGAAGAAGACTAATTTGCCGAGTAATGGTTGATGGTTTTTTTTCTCTCTCTTCTTTTTTTTTTTTTTTTTGGAACCGTTAATTCAAGAATATTAAACTATTTACTGTTTTCTTTTTTGATGAAATTAATTTTTTTCACTTTGCTTGCATATTATAAGAAAGTCCTCTTCTTATATAATATATAACAATTTATTTAATAAGTTGTGACTTAATTGATAAAAGAGTTTGTTCTTCACTTTATTGATTAAGATTCAATTTTTTTGCCTCAATAAAGTGTTAATTCCTTATAAATTCCTTAATCTCAACTTAAATGGTTTACCTTTAATTGAATTACAGAGGAATTAGTCTTGCCATGACCTCTAAATCAATATATATAAAATAATCCTATTCTATTTATTTGTTTTTTTATGTTTATCTTCACAACTCAAACTTAAAACTTTTTGATTTTATCCAAAAATAATCCTCTTTTATTTATTTACTTTTTTATGTTCATCTTTAAACTTAAAACTTTTTAATTTTATCGAAAGTAAATTATTACCACTAGACATTTAAATAAAACTACAAGTACCACAACATGTCATGTTGTGCATTATATAGTTGATCTGTAAATACCTATAAAACTATAAATAAATAAAAACCTTAAATAAAATAATCAATAATATATGACACATCAGCTGTTATGTACATTGTATTGTGTGTGATATTACACAGGTTCCACATGTAGTTTTTTCAATTTCTAACTATACATAATTTTTTTTCTGCTCCAATTCAATAAATGCTAAAACGTAGCGTTTCCTTCCAACCTTTAAACTTCTAAGAAAGTAAAAGTGCTGATTTAAACTACAATCTCGTTATGGTGAAATGAAGATGTGTAAATCCACTTACTTCTAAAGTTCTTGAAGTTGCCCTAGTCAAATTTATCTGCAAGGATCTTTATTATTTAATTTGTTTTTATACATCTAATTATAGAATATACAATACCCTCATCCTTCCCAAGATTCTAAAGACCACAAGACCACAAGACCTCCAAATCTCTGTTATCAAAACACTAGCTCTTATTAACTGAAACCTTCTCTAAGGGACATATTTGAAAGTCTTATAGATTTTGTCCTTAATTGTACAATAGAGCATAAATGTCGGTTTAATTCCATAGATGCCACACCCGGTTGACAGCTCTTTGCCAACAGAGTGTAGGGTGAGAAAACGACATCGTAAGTAAATGTAGTTCGTTATCACGGTTTATATTTTCACAGCCCAAAGGATGAGAGTGAGGTCCATAATGAACTGTATGAACCTATGGGCTCTAATTTCTAATTCTCATAAGCGGCCCATTAGTCTGATAAGCAAGAAAAACATTTTTAGCCCACATTGGCATTTTAACTTGTACCAAAATAAATAATATAAATAAATGTTGGGCAATTGGATCCTCCCCCATTTAACGTTAGTAGAACTATTTTTTTCAAGAAAATAGTTGTAAAAATTAATTGATAAAATTTTGTATGGACTTTATAAATTTATATATTGTAGTTTGTGTTGTAGTTATTTTTAAAAAACTAATAAAATAAGAATAATTGCAACTTATATATTCTTTTCATTCAATTTTAATTATCTTTTTTTTTTTAAATTTGAGCCATTTAAATTTAATTGTTAACATTTTCATTCATTTAATCTCTTGGGTAATTACAACTACCTTTTATGGGTTAATCCAATAATCTTTCATTTTCATATACTTGTTTCCAAGACAAAATAGTCCTTGAAAAGCAAGCCCAAAAATAAAAGGGGGCTGAGCAAAGCTAATAATTTTGGGCTAACCGACGTAAATTAAAGTGTTTTTTTGGTACTTGTTCTAGGCCTATATATATAGATGTCATTTTGAAACCGTGTGTGGGTTATCCTGCCCCAATTAGTATTTGAGATTTCAGCCCCAAAAAAAAGAAAAGTATTTTTATATTCGGGAAGCAGCAAGTCATAAATAAATAAATAGAGGTTGAATGAACGAGTCTTTCTTTTTCACTCATTATTTTTCCCTTACGCATTCCAAATTTTGATTGCAGGCATCCTTTCCTTTTGGGGTGATCATGGCACAACCTTGTTTCCGTTATCATCTTGAGGAGGAGGAAGTTGCTGATACATCCGTTTCCGTCGTCAGTTTTCAAATCGTCAAAAAGTCCATTGTAGACAACAATGGCATCATAGTTTCTCCATACCTAGAGCACAGGCACAGTTTCTTTTTCTATAAGTCACCGTCCTCAGATTTTTATGTCTTCTTAAGCAACTATATGCTTGAAACTGGAATGATAGAGCCCTGTGGCAAGGATCTTTTGACTCACTGCCTCTCCGATTTTAAAGGGTATTTCGAAGGAAATCAACGACTAGCCCAAGAGCCCCGGGAGTTCTTCTGTTGCATTCATAGGTGTTTTAGATTAGAAGATGAGTTAGCGGCAATGGAATCCAGAGTTGTTCAGGAATCAATGGATAAAAATGTGCTTCCCAAGACTGACAACGGCCACCAAAGAAGCCATGGAGAGGCTCTGCATAGAGCCAAGAAAAAAGTTGGCCGTGAGTCTGTGACGACCCCTGCATGATTTTTAATGCTGACTTCCATGGATGAAGACTAATTTGCAAAGTAATTGTTGGTGGTTTTTTTTTTTTTTTTTTCTGGGGGTTGGGTGGTGGACTATAGTTTAAGATTAAACTAGCTAGTATATATTTTTATGTGTGAGTTTTATAAAAAAAATTAATCTTATATCTTATTAATTTATTTTTGATTTATCTATATGATTTATACTCAGATTTTAATATCTTTTATTTTCACTTGAAGTATATTATTACCGTTAACTATTTAAATCAATGTTATACATAGCATGTCATGTTATGTATTACATATAAATTGTAGATGAAATTTATAATTAAAAAATCAATAATATATGACACCTAAACGGTCATTTTTTAAATATAATAATATATATGACACATTATCCTTTATAGGAACATTTAAATGATTAAAAACTTGAACTTTTATTTTAAAAATTTTAAATTTAAATTCTCTTAGGAATTAAAAAAAATTTGAAAAAGAAAAAGTTATTTTTTATTACGTAACGTACACATAACTTTTTAAATCAAATTATATGTATTTTTTATTTGCTCTAATTCTATATGAGTACATTTATTATTCCATTCGATTTTTAAGCGGTATCGATTCTATATAGCCATGGGCATCTAAGTTGGACTAAACCGTTGAACGTAAAGAAAAAAAAAAAGATTGTATTAAAACGGAACATCGAGAAGAGAGTTTGAACTAAAATGAACATTTTTCTTGAAATAATTTGGCTTGATGAATTAAAAACAACAAAATAAATGGATGTGTTAAATTTAAAGACAATGATTAGTACACACCCGGATTCAACATTCGGGTGTGCACTC